TAGATGAAGAACTTTTAGCAGATTGATAGCCAGACTGACAGGCTGTCTGTGTGTGAATTAGTGATATCCTTAGGCCAGTAGGTGGCAGCAAGTGACTGAACCCATGAGGGAATCATTGAATCATTCAACCTAAAGACTCGTTAAAAACACTGGGTGCTTTAAATGGAAGGATGCATCCTAGTGAGTGCATTAAACGCTAAAATGAGACATATGGCTATCATAAATGTTTCCACCCCTGCGGTCACGGTACAAATATACTATTAAAAATATAATTGGAAGAATGCTTTATTTCGAACATTTTGGTTTTATCTGACTTTGTATTAATGCAGTAAAGGTAATGAAAACTGTCTGTGGTCTCCCAGTGGTTTACATTTCACAGTTTAGCATTATGTGATTAATTTACAACAGAATAAAAGAAAACAATGCATTACCACAAAAATTAATTTTTTGTCTTGCATAACACAATGAAACTGCTCAGTGTTGATTTATTTTCAGAATTGGAAATCTGTGCAAAGGATTGTGGGCAATTGAAGGATGCGAAGGATACACAATGCTCCCTTCAAAATGAAGGATGCTAAATGAAAACATCCTTCAACAAAACTTTATGATTTGGCAGCCTAGATATGCAGCACTGCAAGGACGTGTCCTTCCATTTGACAAGCACCTGCAGATTCATTCAGAAACAAAACGAGCAATTATCCTTGTGAGTGAGTCATTGAATCATTCATTGAATCGATTTTTTTTCAAAAACTCAGATTCAGTCGGGAAAAAAACTACCACGTGTTGCACCTATAGACGCACAGCAGTGTTGTTGTGGATTTACTTTCAGTGGTGGTGCGTTAAAATGTATGTTACTAAATGTTTACTTGTTCATTGAACTGTTGTAAAAAAGCATTATCAATTTTAAACTTTATCAGAAAGAAGGGTGTGTTAGAAATAAGTGCAATCCCTCAAATGTCTTATGGGTCGTTCCATATGCTTTTCCATTTTTGTCTATGTAAATATGCGATAGTCGGATCTGTTTGAATGCTCATGTCTTGAGTCTTTAGCTGTGAATTGCAGCGATTTACAGATGCGGCACTCAAGTTCAATTTGTAAAATAATGCGTCTCCAAGCCTTATGGTTTTAAATGCAAAAACACATTCTGTGTGACTAGCACATTAAAGAAAACAGCATACTATTGTCAGCAAATCCCTGGAAAGAGCCATATTCTTCAGTGCATGGAAATGTAATCATTTGTAGCATTTTACTCTGTTAATTTTATCCTGATGACAAGCAACATTGATTTGATGAGTTTGAAGAGGGGCTATCTGTTTATTTGACCAATTGCAGATGTGATACCAGCAGTCAAAGCAGTAAAAAATAATAGATTTACTGTTCAAATTAAAAAGCTCTAATAGTATTTGCTTCCAGCATTGGCTTGACAGATTATTTATTAGCTAGCCTTATTATTGCCACTCGTATATTGTACATCCCTAATATCTATTTTCCATATATCTGCCCATCTAATTTAGCGACATCAGTATCGAGGGCTTTAATTAGCCATTTCATCAAAGTCAACAGCTTTACCTTCATGGGCTTGAGAAAATCAACAGTGCCTCATGAACTTCACGATTCCTTGCTTACAGTGACCCTCAACAGCCCCTCTGTGGGTTGAGGTGCATGTTTAATACAGCTCTAAAGCACTCTTTATCTGCAGATTTAGCCGTCTACCCTTCTTTTCCATCTTTCGTTTCTTCCTTGTGATGTGCTCTTCAGATGTCTCTGGAGTGCAATATGAAGAAGCCTTGTGGAAATCTAATTAACCAGAATGCCTTGAGAGAGCAGGGCTTTTCACACACATGTACACCCGGAGATACATAAATCACGGGCTGTCCTAAGAATAGGGTACTTTGGAGAGGGCCTGGTTCCATAGAGCCATTAGCTATTAGTTAGGATCCTTTTCCAAGTTTCTTAAGGTTTGTGTGTACATGAATTTAGATTAAACAAACATTTTTCTGTGGCAAATTTGACTTGAAATATGTTCTTACATCATTTGAAATAAATATCATCTGATTTGATATTTAATACAATGGCATTCATACTTTTTTAGTGGCACTTAAATGGTGAAACACTCATTGTGGCCAGTACATAAGCTGTTATTATTCAGAAAGAGAAATGAGGTGAGAATCAAGAACCTTCACAATGGTGAAGGTGAACCTTCACAAGAGCTCTTCACAATGCCACTGACTAGCTGATTTCTGCATGTCAGATGTCATTACATTTCAACTTGACTGTAAGGTCTCTTATTTTGCTAGGTACTATAATTCATATGTGTTAACCTTCATCTCAAGAAGTAGTTTTTTCTTTTCATGAAGGTTTTTTTTCCGCTTCTCTGTGAGCTCTGTCAGACCATATAAAAACTCCTTTGATACCAAGGCAACAATGACAGTCTGGTCCTGTCTCGTATTTTTCGAGCAAATCAACACAAAGACCTTGGGATAGAGTGAAGGCGGGGTTTTGTTTGGTAAGCAGACGAACACTTGAAGGGTGTTTAGGTTGGCATGTCCTGATTAGGGATAACTATGGTTAAAGGTTCTTTCTCTTGTGTATGTATATAAATGGTTCATCTGTAATTATTCACTCAGCCTCACCTTGCAGATGGAGCCCCTAACCCCACCGTCCCACTGTCCTCTGTGCGTAAACGGCACGTCATGCTGATTAATAACAAGCAAGCCGAATGTTCTCTTGTGCGCTTGTATGAGAGATGGTTCAATTAAGGGCGTGTTTGACTATATAAAATATTGAGAAATGAAACTTCCTTGAACTTATTCATTATTACATAATCTGATAATTGACTTTGTTCATGACAAGTAATACAGTATATATACACTACCGTTTAAAGTTTGGTGAAGAAGATTTTGAGAGAAGTTTCTGATGCTCACCAAGGTTGCAATTATTGGATCAAAAATACAGTAAAAAAAACCCTGTAATATTGTGAAACATAGCCATTTAAAATAACTGTTTTGTATTTTCATATATTTTGTAATTTATTCCTGTAAAATAACTATTTTTAATATATTTTAAAATGTAATTTATTCCTGTGATGGCAAAGCTGAATTTTCAGCAGCCATTACTCCAGTCTTCAGTGTCACATATCCTTCAGAATTCATAATAATATGATTGTTTGATGCTGAAGAAACACTTTTATTATTATTATTATTATTATTATTATGATCAATGTTGAAGACAGCTGTGTTGCTTAATATTTTTGTGGAAAGTTTTTGTGATTTTTTTTTTTTAATCATTTTTGGGAATTCTTTGATTAATAAAAAGATTTAAAAAGAACAGCAATTATTTGAAATATAAATCTTTTGTAACATTATAAATGTTTTGATTGTCAGTCAATTGAATGCATCCTTAATGCATTAAACCAAGAATTTTATATTTTTTAAAATTTTAACATTTATTTAAAATTTTATATTTAAAAAAAAATCTTGCTGACCCCAATTTTTACAGTAGTGTATATCTTTTCTATGTATGTTCTTGGAAAAAAGTGATTTCCTTTGTACACATTTATTATGTAGATGTAATTAACATGTCTATATAGGACCTAAATGGAAAAATGTAATTATTTAAAGTGAGACAATTAAAAATATATATTATTATTATATATAATTGAAATCTAGAATGATTGTTTAAAAAATACTTTTTTTTATTATTTTTATTTTCATTGTCAAGTCAAGTCAAGTTACCTTTATTTATATAGCGCTTTTAACAATACAGATTGTGTCAAAGCAACTGAACAGCATTAATTAGGAAAATAGTGTCAATAATGCAAAATGACAATAGTAAACACTAATTTTTCAGTTAAAGACAGTTCATCATTGAATTCAGTGATGTCATCATCCAGCTCAGTTCAGTTTAAGTAGTATCTGTGCAATCAAGACGACGATATCGCTGGAAATGAAGTGTCCCCAACTAAGCAATTGTTAGGCTATCTAGAATGTTTCTTTCCTATAAAATCCGTCCTAGGGAATGGAAAGGTTCCCCTAATTGAAGAATCAGCCATGAATATGCCTGTTTTGAGTATTTGTGCCTGTTGCTATATCAACATCTCACAAATTTCTGTCTTTATACAGAGAAATTTTGTAATTGTCACACTCTGCAGAGACAGAGAGCCTTGAGGCTAAAAAGAGCATAAAATACATTTTAGTATTCCGCGCTGTGTTGTCTCTCTCTCTCTGTGCTTGGTATTGAGAGAGTAATGCCAAAATTGTCATCCTTTGTGAACTCACTGAAGGGAGAGATACTCTGCGGAAAGAGACAAATAGACAAACAAGGGCTTTTGAAAAGTAGGAACGGGAAAACTACACAGAAGTTTCTGAGGAGGCTGTAATACAGCAGATATGCTCCGCAGAGAAGCTGGATTTTTATTTCCCCCTCAGTCTCTATTATTCTCTCTGAGTTTAGTGTGTATGTGCCTGTTTCTTTAAGCAGACACGCTCTAATATGCACTAAAGCTCTCCACAAATGTTTGTAGCCACACAAAGATATGAAATGTTTTCTTTTCCCGAGAATATTTCATGTTCTTTCCTTCAGTTCTCTATAGTATAGTTTTATACTATATTTAATGACCGAACACAGTCAGAGTGACAGCAATGAAAATTCTCTCATCATTTACTCACCCTCATGTCACTCCAAACCTGTATTACTTTTTTTCAGACTTAACACAAAGAAGCATTTTGATCACCATTGTTTCCCATACAACGAGAACATACAATGGCTTTTAACTTCCACAGAGGACAAAAAAAGCACCTTAAAAGTATAAAAATGCTTCATATAACCCATGTACAATATTCTATACCTTCTAAAGTCATATGATTTCTTTGTGTGAGGAACTGTTTGAAATTTAAAACTATTTGCTTTAATTAGTTGATATTTGAGTGTGTATGCTTGTATGTGATGGCACTGACCTTTGGCTGATTCTTCCCTCTTGCTGTGTTGTCTTCTTCCTTAAGGCTCCTACATGATGGTCAACTCCTCCCAGCATGCAGCGGGGCAGAGGGCTCAGCTTCTGCTACAGACGCTAAGTGAAAACGACACGCACTGCGTGCAGTTCAGCTACTTCCTGTACAGCAGAGACGGCCACAGTCCGGGGGCGCTGCGGGTTTATGTGCGGGTCAATGGTGGGCCGCTTGGCATTCCCGTGTGGAATGTCTCTGGCTCGCGTGGACGACAGTGGCACCAGGTGGAACTGGCAGTCAGCACTTTCTGGCCAAATGAGTACCAGGTGAGCGACATTTTTAATTAGTGACCGTCTTTTCTGGGTGATTACACACTACAGGACATTTATAATTTATTCTTGCTTTTTGACATTGATTGATGTCACATTCATTATATTTTACATATGTGTTCAAATGCTTCATTTACCAATAGAAGGATTAAACAGTGTTTCTGGATACTATATGACGGTAAGTACCTTTGGAGAGTAACATGTCAATACCATGGTATAGATCAAAGTTCCGTGGTAACCCTACTGGAAAATGCCACTTAAAATTGTAGTGTTTTATAGAACATGGTAGTTAGTTTCCAGCTGGTCTAAACCAAACCTTAAAGGGTTAGTTCACCCAAAAATGAAAATTAGCCCATAAATTACTCACCCTCAAGTCATCCTAGGTGTATATGACTTTCTTCTTTCAGACGAATCCAGTCGGTGTTATATTAAAAATGGTCTTTGATCTTTCAAGCTGTTTAATGCCACTCAGCGGGTGTTGCATGCATCAGTCCAAAAGAAGTTAAATAAAAAGCACCCATCCATTAAAATAAAGTGTCTCACACGGATCCGGGGGGTGAACAAAGCCCTCCTGTAGCGAATCGATGCGTTTTTGTAAGAAAAATATCCATATTCAAAACTTAATAATCACTTTAATGTAGCTTGCGCCAACAGTTGTACATGGAAGCAGCTCCGGGCGAGTCCAAGTGAGTCATTGGTTGCTCCAAGCTAGTCTAAACTGGCCATTAGTTAGTCCAAGAGAGTCATTAGTAGGTCCAGGTTGGTCATCATTGGTCTTATATTCTCACTAGTTAGTACAAACTGGTCATTAGCTAATTGAAACTGGTCACTAGCTGGTCCAGGTGAGTCATTGGTTGGTCCAAGCTAGTCTGAACTGGTCATTAGCTAGTCTAAGAGAGTTATTAGTAGGTTCAGGTTGGTCATCAGTTGTTCTACAACAAAGGGGTCAAACTGGTCATTAGCTAGTCTAAACTGACCAGTAGCTGGTCCAAGAGAGTTATTAATAGGTACAGGTTGGTCTATATTGGTCATCAGTTCTAAGATGTTGGTCTGACATGTTCATTAGTTGGTATAAACTGGTCATTAGCTTGTACAGGCTAGTCTATGCTATTTATCTGTTGGTCTAAGATGGTCATTAGTTGGTTCAAGCTGCTTATTAGCTAGTCTAAACTAATTTAGCAAATTAGCATGTCCAGGAGAGTCATTTGGTCTAAGATACTCATCAATTGGTCTAAGATGCTCATTATTTGGTACAAACTTCTCAAGTTGGGTCTATGTTCAAGTTGGTCAAAGTTGGTCATCAGTTGGTCTTTAAGAGAGTCTTTAGTAGGTACAAGTTGGTCTAAGTTGGCCATCAGTTGGTCTAAGATGCTCATTAGTTGGAACAAACTGGTCATTAGCTAGTCCAACAGGGTCATTAGTAGGTCCAAGTTGGTCATCATTTGGTCTTATATTCTCACTAGTTAGTACAAACTGGTCATTAGCTAGTTGAAACTGGTCACTAGCTGGTCCAGGTGAGTCATTAGTTGGTCTAAGCTAGTCTAACTTGGTCATTAGCTAGTCCAACAGGGTCATTAGTAGGTCCAAGTTGGTCATCAGTTGGTCTAAGACATTTATTAGTTGGAAAAAAATGGTAATTAGCTGGTCCAAGAGAGTTATTAGTAGGTCCAAATTTGTCTAAATTGGTCATCAAAATGTTGGTCTAAGTAAGATGCTCATTAGTTGGTATAAACTGGTCATTAGCTGGTCCAGGCTAGACTAAGCTATTTATCTGTTGGTCTAAAATGGTCATTAGTTGGTTCAAACTGTGTATTAGCTAGTCTAAACCGGTAATTAGCATGTCCAAAAGAGTCTTTTGGTCTAAGTACCTCATTATTAGGTACAAACTTGTCAAGTTGGGTCTATGGGTTCGAGTTGGTCGAAGTTAGTCATCAGTTGGTCTAAGATGCTTATTAGTTGGTACAAACTGGTCATTAGTCTAAACTGGTCATTAGCTAGTCCAAGATTGTCATTAGTTGGTTCAAGCTGGTCATTAACTGGTTCAAATTAGCAAACCATCTTGGACCAGTGATAAACAATCTACCATCTGGTAGTTTAAGGTGATCAAAATGGAACACGGTGGCTGGTCGACCAGCTGTAAATCCACAGATTTTCCTGGTAAATGCTTCGGAAATGCTTGAATGTCAGACTCTAAGCGAATTAATTCATCATGTTTGCCTTGAAACAGTAGAGTATGCCACAAATTAGCAGTGTGACTGACAGCTGTTGTAATCTTAGTGGCAGGCTTAGTAAACTTGTTTTCGACTGCCTTCCCATAAAGTTGCTGTGACATAAAGATAGTACAGTATATCAGAGCTCTGCTAACAGCAGCATACACAGACATCCCTTTTCCTCACCACAAGGCATTACACAACCAGTGATGGAGACTACTGTCTTATTAGTCATGCCCCTTGCATTGTTTAATTAGCATTGATCTTAGCATGAATGTAGGTTAGTGCTGTAGGGCTTAGACAAACCCACAATATAGACCATGTCAATAGCGTTGACACGTCTTACTCAACTAGTAACCTAATTTCCCTACTGTACCATTACGTGTGAGACACAGTCTACCAAATCACTGCTTACGAAATGACACCCCATTCACGCCCCCCAAGCCGATCGATTGGTGTCAATGGCTGGTCTGCCATTGGGTTACACGCTGCTATAGAGGTGCAAGTGGGCAGAAGCAGGGGGCTTCATCCATTCTCTGCGCAGCTGTCAGAAAGCAGTTAAGTTGATTAGTGTTCACTTTATCGAGAACTGTCAATCTCTCCAACCTAATTAACTTTCACATGCTGGAGAAAAGATGTGGCCTTCATGTGTAAATAAAAGTCCTACCGACAGTCAACAAGATGTGAAGGTGGAGGGAGCATGACAATAGGTTGAATTTGTTGTGTTTTTGTGGGCCTGCATTGTCGATTCTGCGTCGCTTTGAATTTCGATGAGTGCACATGAAGAAAACATGTTGTTTCTCCGAAAAACCAAGAAATTCTGCTGGTTAGCATGAGCCTGTTAGCTCGTGTTGGTAGGATGCTGTGACCATCCGGTTCAAAAAGCATCTTCAGTGATAGGCATTTAACAGTTGCTGTGTATTATTATGAAATATGTTGTATGTATTTTTTTTTACCATTGCAGTTTATAGTTATGCGCTCTGAACAGCATACTGACTTACCCTATTACCCAAATTAAGTTTTCAAAACTTTATTTTCAGTTGTGGTTTTCAGTTAATTGAAAACTTAAATTATCGGTTTTAGTTCTTTGGTAAAAAAAAAAATAAATAATAATAATTCAGTTTACTAAAACATTATATTCCTGCTTTTTTTGAAAGGCTCTTAAAAATGTCGTCTCAGCTTAGGATAGTTGCTGCTGGTGTCTCTGCATGTTCTTTTGTTTCATCTGCCAGTCATGTTTTTTGTGATTTATCTTCTTCAGGATTATTAGAATAGCATTTTTGGGTTGTCCTTTTTTTTTTAGCTAGAAGGCTAATTAGTTAGCCATATGCTAATCTAGCAGGCTAATCGGCTTGAGGTAATCAAAGACAGTAAGCTCACTGTTTAGCTTGTGAGCTGGCTGAAGCAAAATGTTTAATTTGACTATTTTTAGCTTCCTTTATGTGACAGTTTAAAATAAGAGTTCAAACTGTTATTAAACCTTTAAAATCTCTTTATAAACAGACTTTGAGAACTCTGGACAAAAAGCCAAACCAATATCACCACTGTAGGGTCTTGGACATATATGGACAAATATGTCGCACGTACTACGGAAAAACTGGTCTGTGCGATGAATAAATTTACCACTGTAGCACGTGCGATACAGTTTTGCATGTTCATAACACAGCCGCTTAATAGTGTGAAGTGATTTTGTTGTGCTTGTTTGTGTGTGTGAGATTGATTATACTTGGTAGTTAGGGGTGTGCGATATGACGATTTTTGATCGTGGACGAGAAAAAAAAGCACGATCTGCTTTTGAAGAAATATCGTTGTATC